GTACATCAAGGTGGTGAGGGAGCATGAGGGACCTATGATCAGGGAGACCATTGCTGACAGCAGCAGAGCTGTTGAAGTGTAGCCAGGTGGGCTAGCATTTTTTATTTTCATATTTGCTGGAGAAGAGCCCCTGTGTAGGCAACCTGATGCAAACGCTTTTCATTCACATTCCTTAACATAAAAGTGGTCTCCCGTGTCCTAAATACAGATTTGACTGACATGGACTCACTTTAAAAAGCCCTCACCACCTCTGAGCTAACCATCTCCATATCACCATATGTACATGGGTGGTTGACTGCTTGAATTAGTAAAGAATCAGATGATAAACAAACCCCAAAAACATTTTAAAGAAGAGTCAGACAACGAAGGAAGCTTTAAAAGGTGATGAACCTTTACATGAGACTAACTCGGTGAATGAATCACATTTTATTGTATTTGGTGGTCAAACCCTGGCTGAGGAAGAGTGTTCCTGGGTCCAGTCCTGCTGGAGGAGACCCCTGGAGGTGCCATCTAGGAGACATTAAGATCCCAGCTGAAGCATTAGCTGAGGGTCCTATTCGCAAAGCCTAGTCTTGGAGTCTGTTTGGGTCTGGAGAAGCTCACTGGAGAAAGCCAGGAGGAAGTTGGGAGGAAGGAGACCAGTTGTCCTATGGTGAAGTGGGTATCTCCCTCACTGAGGAGTACCTAGTGGACAAGGCTGCTGTTAAAAACCACGGGGCCCCATACACCCAACCTGACAGTCCCCCCCCAGATGCCAATGGAAAGAAGAAGAGAAGAAGCCGGTAGCACTGCAGGGGTGGGGCACACAGGGGGGCCTGGGCAGCAGGGGGAAACGTATGGTGAACAGGGAAGGTGATTGGGTGCAGCGGGAGGCAATTACTGGAACTCATCCTCTGTATGGCTCTCTCTGCATCAGCTGAAACCCAACAGGAGGGAGAGGAGAAGAAGCCGGATTTCAGCTGCTGCAGAGAAAGCCGCACAGAGGATCGGTTCCAGTAACTACCCCCCCGCCATGCCAATCACCCTCCTTACCCACATCCCATTCACCCTGGGCCCCTCCTGCTGGCTTGGGCCCCATACAGGAGGACTGGTGGTATCCCTTTATCCATGGACCTGCTAATGGATATTGGAAGGAGGCAACTGATGATCCTTTGACTGTGTAGATAACCCCAGTGCTGGAAATTGGTGACTGTGCGCAGCTTTTGGTCTTCTGGGAAAAGTCCTAGTCACCTTCCAGCACAGATGTAGTACCTGCCTAGTTTAGCTAGGGGGAGCTAGTGTTTAGTGGTTAGTGAGGAAGGCTGAGCAGCAACCTGGGTGTAATAGCCAGAAGGTCAAAACTTGGTCAGGAACTGAGAGGCTCTGCAGGCCAGCCCTTCTGGAATTCCCCCCTGCTCTAGGGCTTTGGAGGAAGGCCTTAGAGCCTTTTCTCCCTCACTGAAGAGTGCCGGTGAGGGAGAAAAGGCTCACAATGCCACAGGATCACCGGCTGCCTTCTTCTGATATCTGCCGGCACTCTTCAGTGATGGAGAAAACATTGACAATGCCACAGGATCTCCTGGTTGCCTCCTTCTGATATCTGCCGGCACTCTTCAGTGAGGGAGAAAAGGCTCACAATGCCACAGGATCACCGGCTGACTCCTTCCGATATCTGCCGGCACTCTTCAATGAAGGAGAAAAGGCTCACACAATGCCACAGGATCATCGGCTGACTCCTTCCGATATCTGCCGGTACTCTTCAGTGAAGGAGAAAAGGCTCACAATGCCACAGGATCACCGGCTGACTCCTTACGATATCTGCCGGCACTCTTCAGTGATGGAGAAAAGGCCCACAATGCCACAGGATCACCGGTTGCCTCCTTACGATATCTGCCGGCACTCTTCAGTGAAGGAGAAAAAGGCTCACAATGCCACAGGATCACTGGTTGCCTCCTTCCGATATCTGCCAGCACTCTTCAGTGACGGAGAAAACATTCACAATGCCACAGGATCTCCGGTTGCCTCCTTACGATATCTGCCGGCACTCTTCAGTGAGAGAGAAAAGGCCCACAATGCCACAGGATCACCGGTTGCCTCCTTACGATATCTGCCGGCACTCTTCAGTGAAGGAGAAAAGGCCCACAATGTCACAGGATCACCGGTTGCCTCCTTACGATATCTGCCAGCACTCTTCAGTGAGGGAGAAAAGGCTCACAATGCCACAGGATCACCGGTTGCCTCCTTACGATATCTGCCGGCACTCTTCAGTGAAGGAGAAAAGGCCCACAATGTCACAGGATCACCGGTTGCCTCCTTACGATATCTGCCAGCACTCTTCAGTGATGGAGAAAAGGCTCACAATGCCACAGGATCACCGGTTGCCTCCTTACGATATCTGCCGGCACTCTTCAGTGATGGAGAAAAGGCCCACAATGCCACAGGATCACCGGTTGCCTCCTTACGATATCTGCCGGCACTCTTCAGTGATGGAGAAAAGGCCCACAATGTCACAGGATCACCCGTTGCCTCCTTCTGATATCTGCCGGCACTCTTCAGTGATGAAGATATTGGAAGAAGGCAATCGGTGATCCTGTGGCATTGTGGGCCTTTTCTCCCTCACTGAAGAGTGCTGGCAGATATCGTAAGGAGGGAACCGGTGATCCTGTGGCTTTGTGGGCCTTTTCTCCATCACTGAAGAGTGCCGGCAGATATCGATTATCAGAAGGAGGCAGCCGGTGATCCTGTGGCATTGTGGGCCTTTTCTCCATCACTGAAGAGTGCCGGCAGATATCAGAAGGAGGTAGCCGGTGATCCTGTGGCTTTGTGGGCCTTTTCTCCATCACTGAAGAGTGCTGGCAGATATCAGAAGGAGGCAGCCAGTGATCCTGTGGCATTGTGGGCCTTTTCTCCATCACTGAAGAGTGCCGGCAGATATCGGAAGGAGGCAACCGGTGATCCTGTGGCATTGTGGGCCTTTTCTCCATCACTGAAGAGTGCCAGCAGATATCAGAAGGAGTCAACCGGTGATCCTGTGGCATTGTGGGTACTGACCTAAACTCAAGGCCCTATTGACTGTGCACAGTTCTCTCCTTTTCTGAAGACCCTGGTAACTGCTCAGCTTGTGGTGGCCGTTCCGAGAACTTAGTCCTAGCTACACCTCCTGCCTTTGTTTGTAGACGCTGTCTAGGTCCAGAAGAAGAATTGGCGTCATTTTGTTCTTCTTTGTTCCTGGCATCTCCTATGCTCCCCCCCCCCCCCCAGCCCAGTACAGGCTCTGATCTTCATTATAGAGTCGTTTCTGTGACTAAGAACATTTCTGAACAAAGGGTGTCAGTCTTCTGTGCTCTCTATAGAAGTTCCATCACGTTTCCCAAGACATAAGCGGTATAAATGGCCCACCAACCATTCCTTCTCCACCACTGGGGTCTGGGTAAGGCTTTTGATGCTTCACCCATCTGTTTGAGCTCACATTGCCAGTTCCGGTGGCCCCTGGAATGGTCACTTGTTTCTTTAAGGCTTGGACAATGTTGCGTGTGCTATTTGTAGAACCTTCATCATTAGGGCTCCCATGAAGCCATCTAGGAGACCCTTTGTGGCAAAAATCCAGAGGATTCCTAAGGGGCGCTAATAATTTCTCACAGCTGTATCAGGAATGTTGGGAGCCAAAAAATACACAAGTGTTGTCGCTGAATAAAAACAAGTCTTCATCAGTCAAATGTCGGAGGAGCAGAAAATCCCTAATGTGCTGATTATCCATCTGTGTGGGAGAAAATATTCGCCTTTATTTTTACATATGTTATATTTAACCAATCGGCGGGAAAGGGGACACTGTGTGCGGTGAGAGTTGGAAACGTCATAAATTTCAAGTTTTTAAAGTAGAAGTTCGGCCACATCTCAACAACCCGTCCAGCAAGTTCTAGACCTACCCCAAGTTCCACGGAACCCTGGCCGAGAAAGGCTCCTCCCAACCCAATCAGAGGTGTGCTAAACCTGCGTACTGGGAGGGGTCAGCAGTCCAGCAGCTTCTTGAAGTTCCTACACACCTATTTGCCAAATACGTTAGATTGTATGTTGGATGTTGGTCCTCATAGGGGCACAGGAGAGGTGGAAGAACTCCAAGTTAGTCACCAGAGAAATGAAAAAAAAAAGAGGAGAAGCGGGGGAGCCCTTTTGGTGTAGTTATGGGACAATTACTAATGGGTTGTAGGAAGAGTTCCAATGAACAAAGTCGATGTAACTCACATGAGGTGAGTTTGTGAATAGCCAAGTATGAAGGTAAAAGCAACCATCTGAGCATGATTGTGGAGAATACTCCAGCCTTCATGCAGGATACAGGTCACTCTCGATGCCTTGGGGAACCTTGGAGAACCTGAGAACCTCATGCTAGGCCCTTTATAGAGGACATCAGGTTGGTGTGGTGAAACACCCATCGAATGATGATATGGCAGAGGCACCCATGGGATCCTGTAACAATGTTACTAGAGTTCTTGTGGCGAAAGGGAGGAGCTATCCGTTTTATTATAAAATATTGATTGCTCATCCCTTGAAACATGATGACTCCAACCACTCTATTGATATCATCACGATACCATGATATCATCGCTGCCACCTCCCCCTCTCTCCCTCTCTCTGTTGGGGTCCCCCAAGGTTCTGTCCTCGGGCCCCTTCTCTTCTCCATCTACACCTCCTCCCTTGGCCCACTGATACACTCCTACGGCTTCAACTACCACCTCTATGCCCAAGATACACAAATCTACCTCTCCACCCCCCACCTCACCCCTTCAGTCTCCACCCGAATCACTAGCCTTCTGAACAACATATCAAATTGGATGTCACTCCAATGCCTCAAATTAAACCTTTCCAAAACCGAGCTCCTAGTTTTTCCCCCCACCCCGCGCCCCCCCCCCCATCCTCTCCATCAGGACCATCAGTCCTACCCCACAAGCCAAAGTTCTAGGCGTCACACCCCAGGTCCAATTGCTGACAAACTCATGCCCTCCACCCCCTCTCTGTCATTCCCTCCACTGGACCCTCCATTCAGTGTCCTCCACCCCCCTCTGTCATTCCCTCCACTGGCCTCCATTCAGTGTCCTCCCACCCCCTTTGTCATTTCCCTCCACTTGGCCTCCATTCAGTGTCCTCCACCCCTCTCTGTCATTCCCTCCGCTGGCCTCCATTCACTGTCCTCCACCCCCCTCTGTCATTCCCTCCGCTGGCCTCCAGTCACATGTCCTCCACCAACTCTCTGTCATTCCCTCACACAGTGGCCCCATTCAGTGTCCTCCACCCCTCTCTGTCATTCCCTCCACTGGCCTCCATTCAGTGTCCTACTCACCCCCTCTCTGTCATTCCCTCCACTGGCCTCCATTCAGTGTCCTCCACCCCTCTCTGTCATTCCCTCCACTGGCCTCCATTCAGTGTCCTCCCCCCCTCTCTGTCATTCCCTCCACTGGCCTCCACTCAGTGTCCTTCCACCCCCCTCTGTCATTCCTCCACTGGCCTCCATTCAGGTCCTCTCCACCCCCCTCTGTCATTCCCTCCACTAGGCCTCCATTCAGTGTCCTCCACCCCCCTCTGTCATTCCCTCCACTGGCTCCCGATTGCCCAATGCATAGAATTCAAACGCCTAACTCTGAACATACAAAGCCATTCGTGTAACTCCTGCCCCAAACTACCTCACCGACCTGATGCCCAAATACCACCCAACCCGTAATCTTCGCTCCTCACAAAGACCCCCTATTCTCTAGCTCCCTGGTCTCCTCTTCTCCATGCCCATCTCTAGGACTTCTTCGGGACTTCCCCCATCCTCTGGAAACTCCTACCTCCTCCCTACCCCAATCCCCCATCAGACTGTCACCTTCCCTCCTCACCTCTAAGGCACACCCTGAAAACCCATCTCTTCAGGGAAGTCCTACCCCGCCCTCACCTAACAGCCCGATCTCCTCTCCTACCACTCCATCCCCCACAGCCACTTCCTTCCTCCTGTAGTACCTCTACCCCCTCCCTCCTAGATTGTAAGCTCCCAGGAATCAGGGCCCTCGAACCCCTCGTGTTTGGTATTGTTACTGTATTGTCTCATGTACTGTCCCCCGTTGTAAATGTATACAGCGCTGAGCAAGACTGAAGGGAGGAGCCAGTAACAAAACCTGTGCAAGACTGAAGGGAGGAGCCAGTACACTGTGGAAGACTGGAAGGGGAGGAGCCCGGTACAAACCTGTGCAAGACTGAAGAGGGGGAGGCCGGTACACCTGTGCAAGACTGAATGGGGAGGAGCCGGTACACCTGTGCAGGACTGGAAAGGGGAGGAGCCGGTATACAGCTGTGTAAGGACTAAGGGGAGGAACCTGTAACCTGTACAAGACTGAAGGGGAGGAGCCTGTACACCTGTGCAAGACTGAAGGGGAGGAACCTGTAACCTGTACAGACTGAAGGGGAGAGCGCCGGTACACCCAGTGCAAGACTGAAGGGAGGAGCCTGTACACCTGTTGCAAGACTGAAGGGGGGAGGAGCCAGTACACCTGTGCAAGACTGAAGGGGAGGAACCTGTAACCTGTACAAGACTGAAGGGGGAGGAACCTGTAACCTGTACAAGACTGGAATGGGGAGGAGCCAGTACAACACCTGTGCAAGACTGAAGGGGGAGAACCTGGTAACCTGTACAAGACTGAAGGGGAGGAACCTGTAACCTGTACAAGACTGAAGGGGAGGAGCCAGTACTACACCTGTGCAAGACTGAAGGGGAGGAAACTGTAACCTGTACAAGACTGAAGGGAGGAGCCTGTACACCTGTGCAAGACTGAAGGGGAGGAACCTATGTAACCTGTACAAGACCTGAAGGGGAGGAGCCGTACACCTGTGCAAGACTGAAGGGAGGTAAGCCTGTACACCTGTGGCAAAAACTGAAGGGGAGGAGCCAGTACACCCTGTGCAAGACTGAAGGGAGGAACCTGTAACCTGTACAAGACTGAAGGGGAGGAGCCAGTACACCTGTGCAAGACTGAAGGGGGAGGAAACTGTAAACTGTACAAGACTGAAGGGGGGAGGAGCCTGTACACCTGTGCAAGACTGAAGGGGAGGAGGAACCTGTAAACCTGTAGCAAGACTGAAGGGGAGGAGCCGATACACCTGTGCAAGACAGAAGGGGGAGGAGCCGCTATACCTGTGCAAGACTGAAGGGGTAGGAGACAGGTTACACCTGTGCAAGACTGAAAGGGGAGGAGCCTGTACACCTGTGCAAAACTGAAGGGGAGGAACCTGTAACCTGTACAAGACTGAAGGGGGGGAAGCCGGTAACACCTGTGCAAGACTGAAGGGGAGGAGCTGGTACCAACCTTGATGCAAAATGAAGGGGAGGAACCTGTACACCCTGCGTAAGACTGAAGGGGAGGAGCCTGTACACCCGTCAAGAAGAAGGGGAGAACCTGTAACCCCCT